CAAGTGTTGACTCCTCATGGGCAGGAACTATGGAGTTGACAGAGGCAGAGTCTTGTGATGTGATCTGGGACTTATTCTATCCTGTAAGTAGATATGGTGTTAGGCAGAATGAACTCCTCCACATATCAGCTATAACCCTTGCTTTTTCAGGAGGCATTTGGGGGGATGACTGCCTGGACCAGGGAGGTGATCAATGACTTGTTGAAGGAGGAGATGGTACCACTGGCTTTGAAAGAGGCGGTAGCATGCCCCTCTGAAGAGGCAATCACTGAATCAGGCTATGTTAGACAACTATTACCCAGTCTCCACTACTCCTTTTGGGGGAAGGTTTAGAGAGTGGTAGGGCTTCAACTACAAAACATCCCAGAGGAAGGAGATTATCTGAATCCTTTCCAAACCTTGGACAGAATTACATTGGTTGCACTGTTGGATGACTTCACTGGGATCCTGCTAGATATCCCAGCAGCATTCAATATTATCTATCACTGAGCTCCTGTGAGAATTGGGAGTTGGAGATACTGTTGTACAGTGGTTCTGCTTCTTCCTAAGTGTGTGGTTCCAGTTAGTGGTAGTGGGGGAAGACAGATCTATCTGTTGGCCACTCCAGTGTGGTGTGCCACAGATTTCTCCTCTTTCCCTTGCTGTTCAACATGTACGTGATGTTCAGTGAAATCATCTGCCAATCCAGGATGAGGTATCATCAGTATGCTGATGATATCCAAATATGCCCTGCCATCCTGGGCTGTGATATGGTGGAAATCCTGAGTGAGTGTCTGGAGATTTAAGTTGAATTGCAGTCAGCCTGAGTTACTATTTGTCCAGAAACCATCCAGCATCCTAACTACTCCAGTGACTACTCTGGATGGGTTCCACTTCAGGTTTGTAACTTGGTGGTTCTCCTAGACTTATGGCTGCTGCTGGATATCAGGTAGAGGCTAGGGGAGCCTTTGCCCAGGTTCAGCTGGTGTGCCAATTGTGGCTTTTCCTGGTGATGGAGGCCCTAGATACAGTAACTCATGCACTTCTTATTTCTAAGGTAGATTACTGCAACGCACTCTGTATGGGGAAGCCTCTGAAGATTACTTGGAAGCCACAGTTGATACAAAATTCAGTAGCCCATGTTTTAGTGGGCAAAAGTGTCAGATTCAGCCCAAGAAACTTAGCGGGACAATTCAGGATCAGTTCAGTTACTTTATTAGCTTACACCTACTAGACAGAATCTCACCAGACTAACTCTAACCCCCAACAACGGCAACTAAACACTCTGAATTCCTTAGGGTGGTGCCAGTCTCACCCTCTTATTTTTCACACGCTCAGGCTGTGGGCTGAGGAGATGCTTGAGATTCTTCTCACTCTCCCCATGACCTTGGACTTCCTCACTCAAGCCTTCCATCACAAAGAGTCACTATACACATATATTGCCTGTGTTATGGATGCTACTCTGGTTGTCAACAGATTGCCTGGTAAAATTCAAAATTCTGGTTTTGACTTTAAAAGCCTTATAAAGCGAGATGTACAGTTGAGAGCCATGGCAAGTTAAATGTCCCTTTTTGCAGTGGGACAGCGTTACGATGGAGATCAGCACAGGATGCAGGATCCTGGTTGTCAAAATACTCTCTGGATTAAGGAGAGACCTTTGAGATAGCCCATGTTACTCCACAGCTGCTCCTCTGAGTAAACTGCAGGAATAGTTGTTTTGCGGTTTGCCTATGGGTCAAGCGGCTGGAGTCAACGGAGGAACCATCTTGGCTCACAGTTGTTAATGCAGCCTTTTTAAAGGACATTAAGCTCGACTGAGCCTCACTTCTTAATCACTTTGGATTTTTTTTTCTGTTGCTTTTAAAGGATTAAGACCTTTTGGAATGGCAAGTTATATTGTATTTGCTAGGTGATTATATTTATTATATTATATTGTATTTCTTAGAGAAAGAACCTTTAAATATGATTTTTATAACCTTTTGAAAAATATTACTTTTTGGATTAAACAGCAAAAGGGTGCTCAGAATATGGAAAGTTTAACAGCAGATTAAGGGCTCAGATGAACTTGTAATTTTAAATGCTCACAAAGAGCTTTGAATTAACTAGAAGAACTTTTTCCTATGGGAAAAATGACAATTGTTTTGAGTTCTTGCATGATAAGAGGACTTTGAAGGATGAACACTAGAGGGAGCCTGAGGATAAAGAAAATAGAGCAGAAATCTATAATACAAATTTGGGAATATTTGTCTGCCAAGCTTCTTGACAAAATAGATAAATTTCTTGACAAGACTGACAGAGCTTCTGATGAAATTACAGAACAAGAACAAGTTGCAACAGATGGTTTTGAAATTACTTTGAAGGGGGACTTAAATGTAACAAATAATGAGAAAGATATGGAGAAACATATGGGCACACAAGCGGAAGTGATGGATGACTTACTCCCAAAAGGAGATATACAGATATTGAACCAGGAAACTGACTTGGATAGTTTTATTTCACTGGATATACAAAAGAACTCTCTTAAGGTTCTGAAGGACTTTATTAGAAATGACAAACAAAAGGACAAACTTTACTTATTGGATATACAAAAGAACTCTCTTAAGGTTCTGAAGGACTTTATTAGAAATGACAAACAAAAGGACAAACTTTACTTATTGGATATACAAAAGAACTCTCTTAAGGTTCTGAAGGACTTTATTAGAAATGACAAACAAAAGGACAAACTTTACTTATTGGATATACAAAAGAAATCTGGTAAAGTTCTGAAAGATTTTTGGCTTGAAACACAGATGAACAGAAAACTAGCTCTGGGATTCTTTTTGAAGGGGTTAAAAGATATTTTTAAAAACTCAGAGAAGGAGTACAGTGTTGGCTTATTTGACCAGGGCTAAAAGAGAAAAATAGTTACATCTGGTTGTACTTACTGGACTTTTGCTGATAAAGAATGACTGACGAAGCATTTGGATTTTTTTTTTTTTATTCAATAGATAAGATATGGGGTGAAGAGACATTATGTTATATTTGGAGATAGTGATAAGCTATTAAGATTGTCTTTATTTGCTGGGATGAAGGGGGAAGTTACTTCTTTTTTCTTTTTTTCTTTTTCTATTTTTTCTTTTTTTTTTCTTTCTCACACTTTTTTCTTTTCTTTTGTATTTTTTTGTTTGCATTTTTTGTAGCCTGTACTGGCTTTTATTCTTTTCATTTACAATTCTTAATAAAATTGTTTTTGGGAGAAAAAAAGCCTTACATGGCTTGGGACACAGGTAGTTGCAGGATCATCCGCTAAATTGATCTTACTTATCTGGTATGCTCATACCGGATAGGCATGTTCGGAGATTTCTCCTCTACAAAAGATTTGGGAGAGTGTGCATTTTTGAGATGGTTTCTGTCAGTGACCCCTTGAGCTCTAGGAGGGCCTTGAAAACAGAACTGGGATTGGCTGAATTATTGTTTGATATAGGATTTACAGTATATGGTTGTATGTGTTTGACTTTTATACTGATGATTTTTTTCATTGTTTTGTTTGTGATTTTAACTGTATACAGTGAGTCCTTGAGTACTGTAATAGATAGAAATATAGTAAATAAATAAATAAATAAATAAATATCTAAGGGCTTGATCAGGTGCTTTTGTTTTAACTGAGAAAAGGTAAACACAATTGCTACAAAGTATGTATACAAAGGGGGGAGTCAGAAATATGTATAAAAAGGGGAGAGAAATCAAGTTTTTAAAATTATTATTATTAATATTATTATTTTCTCCCCTTTTTTCTATTTTTCGGGGGGGGGTTGTTAAATTTGCTTCATCTTTCTTTTATTTCCTTTTATCAACACACACACACACATACAAAGTAATAATACAACGGAAATCTTAATATTAAGTAATTAGTTTCAGTTCAAAACTTTTGTCACTTAACTACTACTCTGATATGATATGCACTGGTCCTTTTTTATGTTATATTCAATTTTGGATGAAAGGTTAAATAATTTTATGCTTGCAATGTTGACATCCTAAAATTCTATTGACAGAATTTTTATTTATTTTTTCTTATTTTCAATACTTTAAGTTTTCTAAATAATAGAATGTTCATAATTTATAATCATATTACATACATATTATTGCACTGAAAACTGCATTGAAATAATACAATGTATCAAGATTTATAAAATTACAATAAAAGGGGAAAAAACCCAATTGCTATGAAGTAAGTGAGAATTCATGCATCCTCTCCCTTATATGGAATGCACTATTTGATCAAATCCCATAAAGTCTCTGGTATGGTATGGTAGGGTAGGGTAGGGTAGGGTAGGGTATGGTAATCCATGTAAAGTATTATAGCACTGTATATTGGCTGTATATCTTGGGAGTATAACACAACACTGCTGCTCATATGGAATGTATGAGAAAGAATGCTTCCAGCTGGTAATGCAAATCCATAGAATTTGTTTTACTGTTGAGGAATAAAAGCTTTCCAAGAAGCTGCAATGATTCTTTCTCACTGAGTAGAAATCCAATCCTTGTGCCCAAGCTATTTAACAGCTACTAGCATGAAAGTTGAGTGAGGAGGAAAAAAACACTACCAATTACTTTTACATTTAGTTGAAGAAAGAAGGAAAATCAGGCTTCAGAAACTTAATAAAATGTGATTCCAAGTGGGTCAAAGTGAATGGCCTCAGTTTCCCATTTTAACAAGAGAAATTCATTATCTTGATATCACAAACTGTTCTCTTGAAAAAAAAATGTGGCAGACTCTAAAACAATGACACAATATGTGTTGTTTTAATGTGTTAACTGTATTTGGTGTTAAGATAATCATTAGCACATAACCTTGACACTAAGGATAAATCTATCTGCTCCAAATATTCTGACACATGGTTGTTTTATTTTTTGGTAAGAACTTTTTCAGCCTCTATCTACAAAAAGACACTTATCAGATAAAACGTTTAGAAGATTTTTAAAATAATATAAGCATTTCATATAAAAATACTCTCTCCTGCAAACCAATTACATGGACTTGATTACTTCAGGTTACATTGACATAGCATTGACATATATCCAGCTGGGAATAATACCTGAGCAAATGCCTTCTTTTCTTTATGAATATCCCTGCTGCCTCTTCTCTTCAGGGAATTCTGAAAAAACACACAGTTTAAAATAAACTGATTTTTAAAAATGCACACAAAAGAAACAATATGAGCAAAATGTTCCAAATAATAACATAAAGTTGTCTGACACTATCATTTCAATAACTGTGTGGCAGTCTAACAAGAAAATGTACAAGTTTTAGATTTTGCTTGAAGCATTATGTCATAGTAATAAAACCGGGTATAATCGTTATCCCAAAGGAAATATAACTAGATATAAGATGTGAAAAACCAAGTGCTTCTAGAGATCTTACAGAGCAAATGAAGCAAATTTGAATGTGTTAGTGTTCTTTCCCTTTTATAATTCATAATTTATGAATAATTTATAAGTAATTCTTTGTTTTTAAAGTGGAATGAAGGAGAGAGAGGTATATGATGTAAGTCATTTGAAGGATTCAGGAGTGTTGATGAAACTAAAGTCAAAATCCTGCGTGCCTGGGAATCAATAGGATTTTCTTTAAAAATACACAGGAGTAAACTTTGAACTTTTTTTTGTTTATAACTCCAGTTAGGTTTTCTGCCACTGAAGAGAAGGCTGCACTCACCAAGTACAGCAGATGGGCTGATCACTAGTTGACTTGTTGGCCCACCCACTTCCTTCCTCCGTCCCACCTAATCCACTCAATCCAAATCCTTCAGCAGCTGCAATTAGTTTACTCTCCAGCCTGACTGTCAGGCTCCAGCGCTGCCTGGCTCCATTCTCCCTGCTAAGGCTATGAAATACCAGATGCCTCTTCCCAGAATTTATATATGTGAAGGTGGATATTCTGTACTTTTTGCATTGAAATCTAAATACCAAAACAAAGCTGATGGGGAACCAGATATAAATTTTCATTGTTTCAACCATATTTCCAATCTCTTAGGAGTAAAACTGCCATCATGTGCAAAAAAAAAAAAAGATATTAAAAGGGGTCTTCACCTTTGAATAGTTTGGGAATCACTGGATTAGAGGAAACTTTACTCTCTAGTATATGTTGTATGGGAATTCAACACAATCAACTGACATTTTATTACTTGCTGTTTAATTAGAATAATTTCAGTTACTCAGATGCTGAAGATTACAATTAATCTGCTTTTACCTGTATTCTGAACATCAGAGTTATTTACAGGTTACTCATATACAGTGAGTGTAACATGGACTTGAGTGTAATGTAGGCTTGAGTTACTATACAATTTATTTTTGTTCCTTCATGTTCCAAATGTAATCTTCTTTAAAGCTTATTGTGATTTGTAACTGCTTATACAGATAGTCCTTGGTTAATGACCACTTGTTCAGTGACCATTTGAAGTTATGACAGTGCTGAATAAGTGGTGGTTATGACTGGTCCTTGAAGTTCCAGCCATCCCAGCACCCCCACAGTCATGTGATCATGATCTGGGTGCTTGGCAACCAGCTTGCACTTACAATGGTTGTAGCGTCCGGCAGACATGTGACTGTGAATTCCAACCTTCCCTGCTGGCTTCCCACAAGCAAAGTCAATGGGGAAGCTAACAGGGAAGGTCACAAGTTGCTCAGGTAAGTCTTCCCCACCCATGCACCCTCCCCCAGCCCCTCTGTGCTCACGCTCCGCCTGCCACCCACACACCCTCATGTACCCTCCCAGAGCCTTACTGTGCTCACACCATGTTTCCCCAGCCACTTGCGCAACTTCTGCCACCCAGCAGCAGCCACTCCAAGCCCCACCACACTCGTGCCATGCTTCCCCTGCTACTTGTGCATCCTCCTCCAATCAGCAGCAGCCACCCCAAGCCCCACCATGCTCATGCTGTACCTCCCCCAGCACTTGTGCACCCTTGCATACCCTCTCCCACCTGGCAGCAGCCACTTACCTGCCTGTCAGCCTGCTTGCAAGCCACCTGGGACTTGCAACTACCTGCCAGCTTCTCCACTGAGTTTGGTTGTTGGAAGCTGGCAGGAAGTTGGGAGGAGGTACTCGTTTATTGAACCACGATCCTTGCTTAACAATGGCAATGGGGACTGCAGGGATTGCTACTGCTAAGCAATGTGGTCATGTGACATCACGCTTTATGACTGCATTGCTTAGCAACACAAATTCAAGTCCCAATTGCTGTCGTAACTCAAGGACTACTTGTATATTGTCAATTGTGATCCATTTTGCTATTTAGGACCACAATGTCAAATTATTATGACATACAATCTTGAATAGGCCATTGCCTGGATTTATATTAGGTTAACCATTCACACATTTCTTCACTGCCAAACATAAGACTCACTTGCCTCAAAACGCTGTTGCTTTAAACACAATGCAGCATTATCATCATCTTTGAACCCCTTATCTGGTTGGTGAAAAGGCTTATTCCTCCGGGAGTTACTGAGCATACTTAGCATTACAGTTCTTTAATTATATATTTTATATACTATTGCTTTCATGAGCAACAGCCTTGCTTTACATGGTTTCTTGAGCAATGGCCTTGCTTTTCACCAACTTTCCACAAATGGTGCCCTTTGAATCTCAGAATTCTTACCAAACTTGTGTAGCTTATTGGCTATGATATTGGACCTAGACCAGGGAATTCCCATTTGATCATAAGACTCACTTGTTGACTTTGGATTAGTCACCTTCCTTCAGCCAACTCACCTTACAGTATTACCACAGGCATAAAATTAGGAGAAATCCACATATTAGCTGCTTGAATCCTCAGAATTATGGCAGGATATAAATGTGATGATCATGGCAGTGCTGGTGATAATTTCAATATATCTGAAGTACTTAATGTTGGGAAAGGCTAATCCAATTTACAGGAAAAGTTATGTGATATTTGGTAAATATTTGGTAAAAATAGCCAATACTATTTTTAAATTTTAGGATATACAGCCTTTTGGAAGTACATTTCTTAAAGAAACTGCAAAAGTAGGAACTGAACTTCTTAAAAATATAACTAGACCATGCTGAATGAGATCAAAGACCTAATATCTACCTATCAAGACTTAGGAAATCTTTATTTTATTCTCACAGTCAGCCAGGGTGGAAAAAAATGTTGTGGCCAAGGGGCTACACCTATTTTCCCCCCCTTGAGAAAACTGAGTGTTTTGGGTGAGGCCTTTATATTTGTTGGCAAGACTTCTTTTGAGAGTTTGGGGATTGTCTTTGTTTTCTAAAACTGCAATATGTTTATTTCAGAGCTTACACTGCAGTTTTAATGTTTCCCACCCTAAAGAAGATGCCAGCAGCTCTCAGCAGTCATACCCAGAGGTAGCTCTGTGGGCTACATACAGTCCTGGGACTTCAAATTGTCCATTTCTATAAGTAATCAAATGCTTATGGAAGCCCACATACCCTTACAATTTTTCAATAAACTTTCATCTTTCCCAGCAAGTGGAATTCAGTGGATTCTACATTGAACTGTTTATTTCCAACTGTCAAAGGAACATGCAAAATGGAATTGGGAGTTTGGACTCCTCATATTTTGTGATCTGTATAATATATCAGACTTTTTGTGCAGATTTTAATAGCAAAAGCAATAATGAAATACTCATCCATTTTCTTTTGGCCTAAATGATGGAAAATGCATTAGTCTAATAATGAATTCTGATAAAGCCAGATTCAAATAACTCATCTATCTCTACTTATTCTTGTCTAATGATTGCATTATTATTACTAAGCCCAAATGAATCCACGGTAGGTTGAAGGCCTCTTCACTGAAGGTTATGGGCCTTAATCTACCATGCTGATCCAATGCAAGTTGGTAGATGGATGTTTTTTGATTTCCCAGTCTAGGACTAAAAGAAGTACAGCCAACTTCTATGCCTAAGGGAGGAGAAGAACGTAGGTATCCCTGCTCCTAGTCCACCACCTTAAGCATTATGCCATGCTGGCTCAATGCCTGTATTACTAGTCTATAAATGTTATTCTTCTAATAATCTGTATAAGCAATTAACTGAAGCCATATTTGAATTTTTTTTAAGTATCATTATCTAGCATTCAGAATGAAAACTGCTTTAAGTGTCCTTGAAAAAACAATGAATCTTACCAAATACCTGCTTCAGTTAAGTTTCTTCTAGAGTAGTGGAAAATATGTTGATCCACTAGATGTTGCTGAAGTACATCCCACTAATTGTGGTTAAAATCTGTTTACTCAGAACTATTAAGTAACAACGGGACTTGTTCCTAAGAAAATATATATTATAGGCTGCAGTCTTAGTGTTAGAAAATTCCAAATGCTGTTGTTTACTTATTTATTCTTCTGTGGGAGAATTCTATTGGCTCAAAGGATCTCTTCTTCAACAATTGTATGACCCAATCCATTATGTTTCTATTAATTTGCAATAATTCACTCATTCACTGCAATTATTTTAGAATTTGAACTTCTTTAAATAACTAACGCAAACGTACACTTATTTGTGACAAACAAAATACTCCAATCTGCCCCATATTGCAAATCAAATACTATATAGCAAATCACTTTGGGATGACTTTATACATGAATACAAGAAAAAGAACTATACAAAAGTTTTCCTAAGGACAAAACTATGACTCCATATTGATACAGATAGGAAATGTGTCATGATGAGTAGTGCTCCTTTGTTAGATGAAGCACTTGTTAACTTAACACATGACTCCTCCACACAGGATCTGTTCTTTCAATTCCAATTTTTAGGCATTCTTGTTATGGCTTCCTGTTTCACAGCTTTCCTTTAACTTCATATATCAAAGGAAAATAACAAAATCCACAGACTATTGTGGATCTTAAAGTAGCTTTCAAAGAATTATCTGGTTCCAACATTGGGGTGTAACTGCACTATCAAGTTAACTTCCTTGACTTTTCTACTACTCTGATGTTTCCCAAAGCAGAGCTACAATTACATTAAAGACAATCATATGAGCCTATGACCTTTAACTGACCCTTAATAGTTTGCTTACTGAGAATTCAATGCAATGAAATAACAAAGCAGGCTGAAATCCAGATCTACCATGCTTATATGTATACAACAGACTATAGCAAATATAAAAACTGGAAATAGTTAC